TCTGATAAGGGCTTTATGCCATTTTGACAAGGGCTTCATGCCATATGTACAAGGGCTATATGCCACCATGTTTAAGGGCTCCATGCCATATAATTATATGTTCAAGGGCTATATGCCATCATGTTTAAAAGTTTAATGTTAATGTGTTCAAGGGTTTTAAGCCACTATGTCTCACGATTGGGCCTAAGGCCATTTTGAAATGAAAACAGGAATAGATTAACTGCATGATCTTTGTATTTAAGTATGCGTTGCTAGATGTTATGTGTAAATTGAGCATTTAAGTACTATTACCCACTGAGTTTGCCTCACTTTATGTTATGTCTGTCTCTGTAGGTAAACAACCAAGTGGTTAATCCTGAGCCATGATGCTCGTTCTTTATGTCAACCTTTGAGTGCCCAGACTCTAGATAAAGCCACTCATATTTTTGTGAAGTCTTGACAAACTTTTGGCGCTACGCTTTACTTATTGGCCTAAGGTTGAAATGTGTATAATACTTTCTTCCGAAATGTTTTTGATGTATGCCCAATTATAGAGCTGGGCTTGTATATATGTGCGTCTATATCCAATATTCAGGTGTATGTTTTAGATTTTATTTGTCTGTTTAAAGTTTGTGATCCTGGCATGATAGTAGTAGCTCAATGGAGTTTGTTTTTATTGTCAAATTTTGATATTTAATGCTTCCGTTCAGGCCCCATATGTTATATATAACAGGTTAAGTGTCCGTTTCTGAAGTGGTCATGCCCAAACTTCTAGGGGCGGGTTTGGGTTATGACATTTACTGTAGCTTGCAGTCCGCTCGAGCGGATTGATTCACGCTCAAGCGGAGACCCTTGTCTGCATGTCCGCTCGAGCAGATATAGACACGCTCGAGCGTAACCCCTGTTTTCTGAAAGTTGTAAAAAAATATTTTAAAGTGCATCCTTGCATCCTCATTCCATCCTAGGCATTCCTAGGCCTAGTTTAAGGCATCTTAATGAGGATATTGATGTAGAACCACACTGAGGCAAACTATGGATTAAGTTATTATTTTCCCAACTGTGTAGCTTAGTGTGTGTTCATTCTGCAACTGTGTAGGGTTGGCATCCGGAGATGCGTACTAGCTTATCTGTAGCCCAGAACTCTGTGAGTAACAATGTTGTAAAGATATGTTCAAAAATGAATATTTTCTTAATGATCAATTGAATTGTTTTCTGAACTGTTTACTGTTAATTGAATGAATGTTTGTCCTCTATTCTGAACTGTATTGTAGCATCCTTAGCAACTACTGTTACTGTTACTGTTACTGCTACTGTTACAGAGATCTCTGTCAGTTCCTATTTTGGAACTTCTGTTTACTGTTATGATGGCCATCATTGACTGTTCGGTCTTTCAAGACCTACTGTTTACTGTACTGTTCTACTAATGGATGTACCACATATGACTGTTATGACTGAATGACTGATACACTGAATCAATTGACTGTTTTCAATACTAAAAAGACATTCATTCTTAACCTCTTTACGCATTATGTTATTCACTGGGCTTTAGCTCACTGCTCATATATATATGTAGGTGTTCAGGAACCAGACCGGAGCTAGGAGCATGTGTTAGACTCCCTTTTGTCAAAGCCAACCACTGTGCCTCACTGCGAGGTTCTGAGCCTGTCAAGCTAGGACTTTTGGGGTGTTTTAGTTTTCCCCCTTCTTGGTTATGTTCTGTATAGACTGAATGTTTTTGTACTGTACTGTTTTAAATAGGGATTAAGTCCCTGTCCTGAATGATTGTATATATTGTACATACTATTTTGGTACTGATTGTATATGTGTATATGATGTGAAAAGTTTTTTTGCATACAGACTGTCACAGCTCATTGGACATATTTTAATTACTGTATTGGCTTCCGCCAGCCCCTGTACTCTGTATTACTGTATTATTGTTAAGCAGGCCTTCGATAATCTCGGATTACTGGCCGGTTATGGTACTAAATCCATAGGGGCGGGTTTGGGTCGTGACAATGTCAGATGCTCCCCCAAAAGCGATAATAACTTACCAGTGCAGAGCTATGCAAAATGCCATAGAAATTGTCTTCCTACAAGCTCGGCATCGTTGGTGTTTATGGCATATTATGAAGAAAATTCCCAAGAAATTGAGAGGATATTCACAATATGAGTCCATAAAGGTTGCTTTCAGTAATGCAGTTTATGATTCATTCACAAAAGATGAATTTGAGGAATACTGGGAAGCAATGATTGAAAATTTCAATTTGCATGATAACGAGTGGTTGGGGTATTATACCGTGAGCGACCTAGGTGGCTTCCTGCCTATGTTAAAGACATATATTTGGGCTGGCATGTCAACTACACAACGAAGTGAGAGTATAAATGCATTCTTTGATGGATATGTGAACTCCAAGACAACCTTGAAGCAATTTGTTGAGGAATATGACAATGCGTTGAGAAGTAAGGTAGAGAATGAGACAAAAGCAGATTTTAAGTCTCGTAACAAAGTGTATGATTGCTTAACGGTGCATCATTTTGAGAAGCAATTTCGTACAGCTTACACTAATTCCAAATTTAAAGAAGTTCAACTAGAAATGAAGCGTCTAGTGTACTGTCGTGCAAATCTTATCAAAGAGGAGGGAGTAATTTGTGCCTATCATGTGAGGGAGGCTGTTGTTGTGGGTGAAGGGATGAAAAAAGTGGAATTTGTTGTGTACTTTAATTCAACTGAATGTGAGCTCCAATGTATGTGTCGGTTGTTTGAGTTTAGAGGTATTATGTGTGCCCATTCACTTTGTGTGCTCATTGAAAGATCCATATATAAGGTGCCAAATAAATACATTGTTTAGAGAAGGAGAAAAGACTTGGAAAGAGGCTACACTTGCATTCTAACCACACATACTAACTTTGGCTCTTCTCTATATCCAAAGTTGGATGATAACTATCACAACACATTGGATGAGATCCTAGAACTTGCTACCAATGATGATGGTAAGCACAAAGTGATTCAACTTGGGTTGATGAAAATCAAGGATGAAGTGAGAACAGTTCAATCAAGTAGTGCAAGTAATGTGCCATGTATTAGTACTTTACCACCTTCAAGTAGTACTTTGCCATCTTCCCATACTTTACCAAAAAGTCCGCCTCGTATCAATACTACAAAAGAAATCATGACTCGCAAGGTACTAAGTCCTTTGGTTGCTCGCCGAAAAGGTCGTCCATGTACGAAACAGAAGGTTAGCAAGGTTGATGCAATAGTCAATCGGTTGAAGGGAAAGAATAAGAAGGCTAATCCGGTATAGGTACATTTTTCATTCCGCAGTACACATGTATATTGCAGAATTTGTTAAACTTCAAATATTCATCAATGTTTGGCACTATAGGGTCAGAAGGTGCATCAAGATGAATCTCGTAAGTTAAGCTTTCCTTGTACAGGAGGTGCAACACACTATGTATGAACCGGTACGTGTTAAATATTAAGGTTGTTTCGTGTTTTTTTTTTTTTTTGGCTTTTAATTTTAGTGCTTGAAATTACTAATTAACTTATGTCACTATTTTATCATTAGGTGCCACCAAATCAACCTTACTATTGTCCTTTTATGGATGTCATAGCAGACAGTATGTATGTACCGGTATGTGTTGAACGGACTTAATATATTGCACTTTGTTTGTTGTCGCTTGATATTGGTGAATATGTTTGTGGAATTTTTTTTTTAATATTTACTTTATTTTTACAAGCACCAGTTAGCACAATTGGGGACAACATTGGAAGCACATCTCATACTCAAGCTGGAATGGTCAACAATATTAGCAGTCAAAGTTCGATAGTATCATCAAATTTTGTTGACTTGAACATCGACGGGGATCCGAATGTCCCCCTTTTTTTTTAGTTTCGAAGTGCTAATTGTACGTGAATTTCATTTGTAAACTTCGGATTGTTCACTTGAATGTCCCATTTTTTTGAGTTGAATGAATTGAAGGTCCCATTTTTGAAAGAATAGAAACCTGTAGGGTGTTGGATATTCTTACAAATGGTTCTTAACATGTTTTATGGGCTTACTAGTTGACCTTTTGATAAGCTGCTAGGGATCAGGGTTAATATCCATGTTTCTGTTCTTTTATTTAGTTTTTTTGGTCCTTTTAACTACGATCCTTGATGCCATGATTGGTGAATACAATATTGCAATTTGCATGATATTCAATTTGAAGTTTTACAGTCACTAAATTCAGTTCTACTATGTCCATGAATCTTCTGCAGTGCATAGCAGTTATGAACTTTAGAAGCTCCTAAGTCTGAATTGAATCTTTAACAATTGGATAATTTCTTATTTTAGTACAAGGGGCTGTCCTGACCTCAAAAGCCTGTATCTTACTGTGTTGCAAGCCTCTGTGTATGTTGAGTGAATTTCAGAAACCTATTCAGTGAATTTATTGAGTGAATTTCAACTATTGAGTGAATTTGTTGAGTGAATTTCAACTGTTGAACATGGACCATTCATGCGTGAATTTGTTGAGTCAATTTCAGAAACGTGTGCATGTGTTACCAAACTAGAAACCTGTGTATGCTTCTCATTCAAGCCAACAAATTTCTTGAAATATTACTTATTCATTCAACAGGTTCACCTTCGTCTCAAAGAAACCTGTTATACAGATCGTTAATTAATACACACTGTTCATTCAACAAATTTCATCTCAAAAAAACCTATTATAAACCTTCAACCTGTTCATTGAACACATTGTTAATCAACTTGTTTAACCATTGTCCAAAAAAATACACTGTTTAGCACCAGTTCATTCAACACATTGTTAATCAATACACTTGTTTTTTCAAACCATCACATATAATACACACTGTTAAGCAACCAACATAATTCAACAGATTTCACACATTGTTCATAATCAATACATACTGTTCATTCAACAGATTTCATCTCAAAGAAACCTGTTATACACCTTCAACCTGTTCAACCTGCTCATTCAACACATTGTTAATCAACCTGTTCAACCATTGTCCAAAAAAATACACTGTTAAGCACCTATTCATTCAACACATTGTTAATCAATACACCTGTTTTTTCAAACCATCAGATTTTTAAGCACCAATAAAAAAATACAAAACAAGTAGAAAAGTAGATTACATTCCTAGCATGTTCCAAAACCTAACAACTTAGGCCTCGTTTGGGGACTGACTATTTTAACCAAAAAACCAACTAAAACTAGTCACATCACCTCTCTACTTTTCTGCACATCTTTTCGTAAAAAGCCAAAAAGTTACTAAAATAGCCTGTTCCCAAACGAGGCCTTAGTCATTTATATGATAAAGTACAAAAATACACAAAATACAATGACATAAGTCATTGCCTTGAAAATCTTCTCCATCCTTTGAAACCTTCTATCATGCTCATGAATTGCATTGTCCATCTCACCAAGCCTTCTCCTTAGATCATTAATTTCTTCTGTTCTTGAATCTGTCCGAGGTCTAGCATTTGCACGGATTGTGGAGGTAACGTCGTCGTCATCTGCGAACCTGAAGTAATTGTAGTGTTCGTTCGCACTCTACAATGCACAAGAATCAGTTAATCAATAAATAACAAATGAAATTTGTAAAAAGTAAAAGATCAATTTATATAACAAATACTTACATATTTTGTTGGACAAACAAAAAAGACACGTCCTTCATTTCCATTTTCATTGGTTCGTATAAAATGCATGGAAGCTGTTCTTCCACAATTACACAATCTTGGCTTTAATCTTATGTTCCTATTATTAGTAGAAGATGAAGCCATTTTTTATTTGCATAAAAAATACCAACAGATTCAACTACCGATTAGTAGAAGATGATGTTCTTATTTTTGTATCTCCCAAGTTGTTCTACCTATTAGTAGAAGATGATGATTCAACTACCTATTAGCAAAAGATGATGATTCAACTACCTACCAAGTTGTTCTTCCATTTTTTTATCTTCCTATTATTAGTAAAAGATGATGTTGGAGTTCAATCTTGATAACAGATTTGTTTAAAGAGTTTAATCTTGATAACAGAGTTCAATCTGTTTAAAATAGAGACAGATGCATTCAAGATTGAACTCTTTTATCAGGTTAATCTTGAATTAATTTTGATAACAAAGTTCGATCTTGATATGTTGAATTAACCAGGTTAATTTTGATAACAGAGTTCAATCTTGAATTAATTTGGTTAACAGGCTAATCTTGAATTAATTTTTCACAAAACTCTGTTCAACCTGTTAAATTAAGATAACAGAGTTCAATCTGTTTTTCACACACAGAACATTGAATTATTCACTGAATTAATTTTGAAATTATTTAACATAGGAACATTTCATGAAGTTCAAGAACATTTCATCAATTTTTCACAGAACATTTAATCAAGGCTAAAAATTAATTCAAGATTAACTTGTTAACCAAGTTAATCTTGATAACAGAGTTCAATCTTTAATTAGGCACACCACCAGGTTAATCTTGATAACAGAGTTCATTCTTGATAACAGGTATATTTTGTATGACCAGATTGAACTCTAACAGAGTAGGTATACTTTGTATGACCAGATTTGCCTTTATTCCTGTTATCAAGATTTTGATAACAGAGTTCATTCTTGATAACAGAGTAACACATCTTGATAACAGAGTGTTACTGTCATACAAAGTAGGTTTGGGATAACAGGTATCAAGAATCCCAAATATACCAGGCCAGCAACACATCTTGATAACATAATTCATTCCCAAATCCCAAACCTACTCTGTTTTATATCTATTATAACGGAGTTCATTCTAGATAACAAGCATAAAGGCAAATCCCAAACCCTAACACATCACAAATTAAAGCCAAATCCCAAACCCTAACACAAATTGCAAGCAAAATCCAACCCCAAACACTCCCAATCGACTAATTTCTACAAAAATTGAAGCCAAACGTAAACCCTAACTTTGCGATTTCAGGTTTACCTCAGATTCGCTATCGCAGGCTCCCATTCGTCCTGCGTCGTGGTTCGTCATCCTCCGTCGTCGTTTATCCACCGTCTCGTCATCCTTCGTCCCCCGCCTCATCGTCCTTCGTACTCCTTCAAGAGACAAGTGAGAGAAGCGAGAGTAAAGAGATAAAGAGGAGAGAGGCATGAGGCGAGAGTGAGAGAGGTGAGAGTGTTGATTTCTTGCAATTTGTTGAGAGTGTGAGAGGTGAGAGAGGCGAGAGTAAAGAGATATAGTGAACTGCTGAGGCAGAGAGGGAAGAGATCGAGAGGGGAGAGAAATTTGTACTTTCGAGCCATTCGAGCCCGAAATATTCGAGCTACAGATCATTTTTGACAATAGAATTCACAGAGTGAACACAAGAGCTGAAATTATGAAACATCAAGCAAAACCCATTAAAAGATAATGATAAAATAAAATAAAAGCAAGTACTTGAAGGTTATATAAATCTCATACACAATTTGAACTTATTCTACAAGGCCCACATACGTTAGGTTGCATGAAGAACTTTTTCAAATAGTCATCTTTTCCAAAACTGTATTACTATCCTCTTCTAAGGAAATCACAGCTTTGTTCTTAAGCTTATAACCAAATGAATCACTAAAATCTCTGCTAATTATTTCGGTTCCCATCAGTTACCAACAATGGCCTCACTATTGGTGTAAGTGGTGATGGAACTAAACTAAACTCAAACTCATCCTTTTGAGCCTGCTCTATACAGCTGAGCAGTGAGGTAACTTTCTAAAGGGTTCAATGGTTTAACAGAAAACTCGCGAGACCTTCTACTTCTAAGAGGCTTGCTCTTTGCTAATCTATAGGTCTCAAATCCCAGTAAAGCATCACCAAAATTGTCAAAACTCTCATTCTTTTCACCAATTCCAATCACATTGTCCTGAAAAGTTTCTTTTCCTTGGAATTCTGGTGGAAAATTCTTCATCATAAGCACATTGTAATTCTCATAATTCCCTACATTTGCCAAAACTTTAGCATCACTGTCACTTGTAGATGCATTTCCAGCTGCCAAACTACCACCATGTCAGTCCAATTCATGAAACGTCCAATCTGAAACTGATTCATCATGTTCTCCCCCTAAAGAAACATCCATTGTCCTGAAAAATTTCTTTTCCTTGGAATTCTGGTGGAAAATTCTTCGTCATAAGCACATTGTAATTCTCATAATTCCCTACATTTGCCAAAACTTTAGCATCACTGTCACTTGTAGATGCATTTCCAGCTGCCAAACTACCACCATGTCAGTCCAATTCATGAAACGTCCAATCTGAAACTGATTCATCATGTTCCCCCCCTAAAGAAACATCTCCTCCCAATCCTTTTCGCATCGATCCACAGAATGGACTATTTTGGTCCTGCATCTGCTAAAGCAAATATTGGGATTTGGATTGCCTGCGAATTGAATTCTCATCTGATAACCCATTTTCCCAGACAAGTTTTGCCAATACTTGGCTAAATACCCAGCTCCAGCTGCTGCTGCTGCAACAACCCATAAATCCATTCTCTCTCTCTCAAAAATTCCATAACAAAACTTGAATTTTCCTTCGGTTACAATTGATCAAAATCTTGAAGTAAAAACAATTATAAATTCAGAACAAATGACGAGGGCTTGAACTCAAAACCCAGAGGCAAAAACCAAGTTATTAATAAATAAAAAGTAAGAAAGAAAAACAACAAAAAGAATAACAGGTCAAATATGAAGGATTGAAACTAATAATATGTAGATGAAAAAAGCATATTAAAGAACAAGAAACAAACTTTCATGTGCTCTGTACAATCATCATAGTAAGAGGAAGAGAATGAAAATGAAAAATCAGATAGAACCCAATTGAGGAAAACTCGAGCACTGCAAAACCCATGAATGGAAAGAAATAATCTACTCCGAAAACTATTCAACATTTAGAGCCGTAGTCAAAATTGATTGGAAAGGTATAAGAGAAGGCATAGTAAAAACCGGTTAGTTTGAAAAGGACTTGTTTGGTACAATGTTTGAGAGTGGCGACGACATTTCAGAGCCACCCACCACCACCAGATATTTGGGTTGGGGACCCAATATACGGAAATAATAGGAACCTCATTGAGTCCAATAAATTGATGGCAAACATACCAGGAAACAAAGAAAGAAATCAAAGTGAAGCAAAGGTATTGATTTAGGATTCAAAGAGTTCTGACCTTGAAATCCAATGTCCAGACCTCTTGAATCTTCCCGAATCGCAAGAAGTAAACTAAGCTTAGCGAGATCAAACAGAAAGGGAAGCGTTTCGTAGTGCAGGAGATGGGTTCAGAGAGATCGTTGATGGGGAAGAACGAGAAAGTGAGAAAGAGAGAGAAAGAGAGAGAGTCACCTGAGTTGGCGGGAACACACTTTGCCTAGCAATGGAGGCTAGCTATCTATGAAGAGCCAAAACGAGAATGGGCAAAATGCCTCACCATTTGCCTCATGCGTTGGAGTCCTAGAAATGCAGCTTCAATAGGCAAAATGCCTAATTCTCTCCATTTGCCTCATGCATTGGAGATGCCTTATGAATGGTTGAAGTACAAACTTCAAAATAATATCCAAAAAATACCTAAAAATAATATCCAGATAATCGACAAATCAATAACAGATCAACAAATCGAAAGAGATTTTGATCAAATCCTTGCGAAAATCTCAATCAACAAATCGATTTAAGGTTTAGAAAAACAAAAATCAAAAATCAAAAATCAAAATGAGATATTTATGAGTAAAACGACAAAAATCTTCTGGATTAGTTGTTGCTATCGTTTCAATAGGTGATGTAGTATTATTTGCTGTCGTTTTAGTTGGTCTTGGTTTTTTAGCCTTTCTTGTTGTAATATTTCTTGCATAGTCTGTTAAGCCGGAAGCACAACATCAATTTAATGACTGAACACAAAATTTTAAAAAAAAAACAACAAACATTGCTTGAAAGAAATCGATGTTTGCAGAAAAATTATGACAACTCTATAATTATGAGAAATAATTATTTCTAAGTTAATAGGACCAGATCTATAGAGAAATTAGCATATAAAACAACTAATTAGCATTTCATCAAACAACTAATTCGTTCAGGCATTTCATCAATCAAACAACTAATTAGCATATAAAAATGATACTAATAGCACAAAAATTATCAATGTAAAGAAATTAGGTTTGATCAATTAATTATGGAGAGAGAGAGAGAGAGAGAGAGAGTGATGCATTACCTTCAAATTTGAGAGAGTTGCCTTCAATTTGGTTTTGTTATGAGTCAGATTGGAGCGATAGAGACACAGACAGAGTGAGGTGAGAGGTAATTGGTGTGGGTTAGGGCATGGAAATAGAGAAGGGAAAAGATAAGTGAAGAAGAGGCGTGAATGGCGGGAGAGAGTATAGGGAGGGAGGGAGAAATGCGAGAGAAATGTGTGCGAAAGCAAGGAGAGTAAGAGAGAGGCTAGGAAGGGGAAAAGAGGGACAAAACGATGTCGTTTTGGGGTGCAAGGGTAAAAGGGTCATTTAACATCAAAACCCATGAGTTGGTAACATACTTTCTACTATCCACTATGTTATAATTCCCATTCTTTTCCCACTAATATGTAACAAACAAATTATGTCCCCATTGGGAAGTAATTCCTTTTTTTTTTTTTTACTACTTTGGGCGATGTGAAGATATTAGTTGCAAAATGTTACCTTTCAACAACTAATTTCTAAGATTGTTGCCAAAATTTGCCGTTGAAAGTGTAGTTTCTTGTAGTGAGTTAGGAAGACTTTTCTAGATGAACTCAAAGGCTATAAAACTCTGTAATTACGAGAAATAATTGTTTCTAAGTTAATAGGACCAGATCTGTAGACGTTTAGTAAAACAACCATATCTCCTTCAATACTTACTGGTTTTAAGCAAAATGGTGGCAAATGAAGGCTAACATATATACCTAACTATTCCAAGAGGCCCTGTTCAAAATTACATTTTGTGGAGAAAATTGCATTCATTTAAAGTGGTTGTTGCTTCTGTGTTGCAGACAACAACAGAGGAAAATATTTATTTTGGGTATAAAATGTCATCTGATGATTTTATAAAAAAAATACATATAAAATACATAATAACAAAGCTCCAATACCTTCAAATCTTAAAAATGGGTTTCATAGAATTTATTCAAGCCTTTAGAAGTTAACAAAAATCTAAACAATGCTGGAAATCCAATCTTTAGTAAGAAAGACCATCAAAACCCATTTCCGCCCACATACAAGATTATTCAAAGATATATAGCATCATATGGATGAAATAAAACTTGTAATAAAGCCAATCAAAAGCTATAACCATCATATGGATGCATGCAAGAAGAGACAGAGCTCAAAGATGCCATGTCATTCAAGCCAAGAGGATGAACATGCAATGGGTTCTTTAACTTCAGCCCACTATCTTCATATTATTAATAGATGAACTAATCTAAAACCTATAAATCAAGTATGTACACATTAAGGAAGACTAGAGATGGTGAATCTTACCTCAAAAAACTTGAAAAAGAAATGCTACGTGGTGGAACCCCCTACTTATATATTATTTTTTATTTTTATGACCACGAATTCCTAGTGGTGGAATTCCCTACTTATATATTATTTTTATTTTTATCCATACTATGACCAGGATTGCATGAGGTACAAGGAATTCCTGGCATCTTGTAGAAAAAGAATACAAACATGTGAAGTGTTTTTCAAAATCTCATTTTTTTTTTTTAATTGTACATAATCACTAACAAGAATTTGGTTGCCTCTGGCTAGTACGATTGCTATGAAAAGAGATTCTTCTCTCAAATATGTCAACATCCGTAATACAAATTACCTTCTTGGCTTGCTCCAAAGTACAAGCCTCTACAATGATCTGACAATCTTCAAACCGAAACTCAGTGATCATCATCCAATCATATGGGTTGGCCTAATCTCACAATCTTCGAGATGTCCAAATTATGTTTCTTACTAAGTATGCAACATTACTACAAGCGTAGAGTAGCTATTTGATTGAACAATAAAAATTGAACTACACACTAAATTACATAATAAAAACGACAATAAATAAAATACACATTACCAAATAAATCAAAGAACTTCTAAATTTTCCCAAAGAACAATGCTTCATACAAGCTAAATATGGATCGTCATCATCATGAGATAGAGTAGCCATTTTACCGAACAATTAAAATGGAAACTAAACAGTAACACTATGTTTGGATTGAGTGATTTGGGGAGAAAAGAAAAGAAATGGAGTGATATGTATTTCTCTTATTTGTTTGGATAACCTAAGTAGAGAGAAATGGAAAAAAATAGAAAGAAATAGAGAGAAACTCATTTCTCTTATGAGCCTCATTTTCAATCTTCCTAAAAGTGGAGAGATTGGGAGAGAAAAGAAACCACTATTTTTATAATACCTATTTTGTCCCTATAAAAATAAAAGAAATAAAATGATTGAAAATATAAAAAGGTTATTTTGGTAATATAACATAAAATAATTTCTTTTCTTTTCTCTTAATGAAACCTAACCAAACAAGAATGAAAGAAATCACAATCATTTCTTTTCTTTTATTTCTTCCTTATCTAAACAAAAATGAGAGAAATCACAATCATTTCTTTTCTTTTCTCTTATTACTTAAATAATCATTTCTTTTCTTTTCTCTCCTAGGTTCCAAACATAGTGTAAAATTTAAAAAAATTGTATCTAATTAAATAATAAATAACATATGCAGGAAGGGAAGTAAAGAATACCTTATTTTGATTTTTTCCGACTCCACTCATGCCATCACCAATACTTCCAAATAAACCTATGATATTACAAATAAAAGAAATACAAAATGATTTACTTTGGATTTAGGGGGAAAAACAATGTGAAAGCATTTGCTCTGGTCTCTGGTCTAGATCCAGAGGTTAATTGATATATACTAATTAGTGTTTATAAGTAATATAAAAGATAAAATAAAAAAACGATAACGGAAATATTGAACCTGAGGATCTAGATCAAGATGAAGTGAAGAAAAAAAGAAGTATTACAGATCAAAGCAGTGAAAATCAAGTAAGAGCATTACCTGAAGATTGAGGCGGCATTTCTCGCCGGAGTAGA